TGCAGCTTTGTATTTCCGTGTTGTATTTTCTGTCCTCTGTTCACATACTACGTAGATATTTCAATTTTAGTACTTGCTTGACTTTGGTGTCTTCAATCCGTTGTTTGCATCTTGGATTCTTATTCTCTTTCTGATTCTGTCATCGTATAATTGATGGTTAACCCTTTCTTCGCGCCTTTTCAGGATGGGTCGATTCATTATACGTGGTCACGCAGCTCTCGGCTGGGAAGGTTGGAATCTTAGGAACTAAGGAATGGCAAAAATAATAGAATCACAAGAGGCTAGTAACGTGTTCTTCTGTGAGGAAGGGGTTCTAGATGTGGGAAGAAGCAATTCATCACCCAAAAGGCCGTGTACACTGAGAAGAAATAATTAGACAACTCCAGGCCAGATGCGGCAATGATGCTCCATGTTTTGATCTGATCTAACTCCTTATAAAGAGAGGTCATACCAGGAGGAGGTGGGTGCTTTCTGGAGAGGCACAATGAGCCGACAGTATTTTCACTTGACGTCTGGAGTGAGCTTTACGAATACACTTCTGGCTGGAAAATGTTCGATCAGACACAATACGCTCCCGCCCACCACCACCACCGCTGCTTTCCAACCTACATGGAGGCTGTGCAAGGCAATCAAAATGGTTAGATATTTTCGAAACAAATCTGATAATTTGAGATTTCTGTATCCCTAGGGTGTTTTTAAAATAATAACGTATTTTACCGTGATGAATTAGAAGTCAAGCTTCCAAATCAGAATCAAAACTGGATGCTACGAAATTGCGTCTAAAAATTAGTTTATCATCACTTCAATTCGATAGGGTGACATTTATAGTTCATTTAACATTTGAAACCCATGGAGAATCATAATTTTAAAAAGCAACATACTGGTCATTATTTCTTCTTCTTCTTCTTCTTCTTCTTCTTCTTCTTCTTCTATGTTTTATTTTCTTTTTTCTTCTTCTTTTTCTATTCCATTTCCTTTCTTCTTCTTTTTTCTTCTTCTTCTTCTTCTTCATCATCATCTTTTCTTCTCCGTCTTCTTCTCATTCTCCTTCATCTTCTTCCGCTTCTCCAACTTTTCTTCTTCGTCTTCTTCTTCTTCTTCTTCTTCTTCTTCTCGCTTAAAATTGGAACACATTCTTCTTTTGGAGATTTTATTTTCTTGCTCGCTTTCTTTTTGTTGTTCTCATTGACTTTCTTTACTTTTTTTTATTGTCTTCTTTTCTTTTTGTACTTCTTATTCTCCTTCTTTGTTTACAACCTGAAATATTTCTGATTTTTTCTTATTTTTCCACTTGCACACTTTCTTTTTGTTGTTCTCCTTCTTCTTTCTTCTTCTTCTTCTTTTCCATTTTCTTCTTCTTCTTCTTCTTCTTGTGATGTGCCTAGAAGTACAGTCCCTTTTGCCTTCAACCTGTCCTGTGAGTGTCAAATTCTTCAAGCCCTCTTTCCTCATTATGTGCCCTAGATTTTCCAGTTGTCTCTTTCGGGTGCTATGTATAATTTTTCTGTTTCTTTCCTCTAAAACTTCATGCCTGAATTGCAGAAGGGCAGGACTGCTACAGAAAATATTTAAAAGTTTGTATCGTATGTATGGATGAAGTAGCAAATGCGCGTACATCTCAGCTGGGATTTAAAAAGCAAAAGTTAATGCGCTAAATGGACAAAAATAGGAAACTTACAAAGAAAAAAATTGGGTTGGCTATCCAAATGCAACACAAAGAAAACAAACAAGGGAAATAAAATGAAAGAATGACTAGTTAAATTAATAATAATGAGAATGCAACAAAATCAGATGAAAGAAATACGAGTCAAAAAATTAATAATAATGACAATGCTTCATCTCAAAAATTCAGACAACTTAATGCAAATATTCTACTAGGTGTAAGCAAACGTTGTTACACGGAGAAAAGAAGAGTATAGCTAAATGAGTGAATTTCAAATTCGCTTTGTTGATGGAGGACTGGGGACAAAAATTGAAATGACCTACTCCAAATTTAATCGGTTGCAAACAATACGGACTAGCATTCCATTAGAATTAAACAAATGTTATTAAATTCATTGATACGATCTGTTTTCTGCTTGTATTTTTTTCACTTCATTCAAGCTGCTCCCCTGATGAATACATGTCCTATTACTCTCGGGAGGTATATTTTTCTTTAATAATACTTTCTCACTCTTAGTCCGGTATTTACCGAAACGGGATCATAAGTATCTATTATTTGGGGGTGGGTAGGTTTTGTCTTGCATTAAACAATAAAAAAACATCTTTGGAATCATACATGATTGATTTATTTCCTGTTTTAAGCTTTGCTATCCCTTTGATATGTGGAACGAGCTGGCAAGACTATGTTGACATATGAGATTATGGGAGGTTATTTCTGCCATCCGGTATTTCGGTGGTTCGGCAGAAGCTTGGCGCCAATGGTGCCGGAATAAAGATGTCGGACTGTATGTCCGGTTTGTAATTCGAACCGTGTCGTTTTTCTCTTGCATATGATTATACTTTAAGCGTTTTTCATATTTTTTTCATTCACTTACTCACAATTATATATATATATATATATATATATATATATATATATATAATGAAATAGACATGGTCAGATAATTATTTTTAAGACATTTTTTTATGTTTATTCGTTCTTTTATCGATACAAATATTTAAGTAAATGCTCTGTTTATAATTATAAACAGTACTAACAACATTTACTGGCCTGAATGTCCGAGAAATTTTCATAGAAAATATGCGTCCTCCGACAGGAATCGAACCTAAATCGGTGACGTGCCTTCACCGATTTAGCCACAAAGGAGCATTTCGGTTAGAAAGGTCGATTTTACTATTTTTAAACACAATTCTCTATGATTTTCTCTCATACATTCATATCTACTCAATGCGTATCCAAATGTAAACAAATGACGGCATACATTATGAAATGGACAATAATTATCTTTTAAGACATTTTTAAGACACGTCAGGCTATATGAGGGTTCCGTATAGGATCCAGGCTCGATCCCTGTCGGAGGACGCATATTTTCTATGACAATTTCTATATAAAAAGAACGCATAAACATAAAAATGTCTTAATATATACATATATATATATAATATATATATATATATATATATATATATATATATATATATGTATGTGTGTGTGTAAATACATATATATATATATATATATATATATATATATATAATCCAAAATAAGTTTTAATCCAAATATATATATATATATATATATATATATATATATATATATATATATATATATATATATATATATATATATATGTATTTCGGCAGCAAGAATTCTCTCAAATAGGTTTGTTAAATAATATGAACCGTCAATTTTATATCTTTTCATTTGGCGATAATTGATCTTATCATTGAATGTATTGATCTATCATAAAATTATATATATGTGTGTGTGTGTGTTGTGTGCGTATATATATATATATATATATATATATATATATATATATATATATATATATATATATAACGTTGTTGGTTTCTGGTCCTCGGGTCTGATAAGGTAATTTAATTCATGGCTTCTCTTACCCTCAAAATTTCCCACATACTTTCCTTGGATATTTTCTCTCTTTCATTCTGACTCGAATAAGCTTAAACTAACAGCTGTCGGCAAATCGCATCCTTTATAAGCGTTTCCTCTCACCATCTTCACTTTTGTTTCGAATACGATGATACAGGAAGCAGGAAATTTGTTACAGTTTATTTAATTGTTGGAACTTTTGTTACAGCTATTTGAAACATAAGCAAACGATATAAATTTAGTAGATTAAAATAGACCAAAATCTCAAATGTTAGATGTGCTGTTGAAACTAAAGAACTCTGGCAAAATTTCCTGGCATTTTTTCAATACCCAAGTTGGAAGTTATTTCTTAATCAATCACCTCGTGTTTAAAATGAAATAACTGCGGCATCCTGGAGCAACAAATGCTTAAATAATTGATATGTTAGTTCATTTTTTTTAGGGCTTTCCTATAGTAAAATATATAATATATTTATATGTTAGTTAATTTTTTTTCATCATATAGTAAATCTAAACATTACTTGTTTTTCGAGGCGCATCCTATCCATCATACAAATGCACAGACACAGGCACACACAGAGATGCGTACACACACACGCACACACAGAGACGCGTACACACAGACGCGTGCAATACACACAAAGAGACGCACACATACACACATATATTTTTCCAATTTGTCATATATAGATAGATAGATAGATAGATAGATAATTAGATAGATGTATGACAAATTAAATTAGAAAAAGACTTTTATGACGCGTTTCATCACGTTAGAACTTCATCGGGAAGGGTTTGTTTACGTTGTTGTGACGATACATGCACACGAACGAGAGATGCAGAGAATTTAAAATTTTAGGTTGAATTTTTTAAGAGAGAGAGGGAATATAGATGAATTTGGCTAGATTCTCAAAAAATTCTTTTCTTTCAAAACTTTTCTTGATATATAAAAATTTATATATAAATGTATATATCGATGTGTGTGTGCGCGCGCGCACGTGTATGTATGATAATGAACAATTCCATGGTTTAAAAGGGCCTCGGCCTCTTCAGGCTTTAATTCAATGAAAATATTGTTGTTTATTGTTAAAAGACAATGAAATACAACATTGAAACAAAGATCTCTGGGAAAAAAATTAAAACCTTTCCATGCAATGTTCAAGTCAAAATAATTGAAAAGTTAAAAAAAAACAAAAAAAAACAATGATTTTCGATTGATTGATTCATCAACATTTTGCAGGTTATTTTGAAGCCGAAATTATTTTTCGATTGTAAGAATATTTTGAAGATAATAAGGATTTATTGATAGTGCTACTGATTAAGCCATAATTGGAGATGCTATTTGTGCGTCAGTGCATATAATGTATCCGACTGAAATCGGAACTCAACTCCTACAGTTTCTAATGCCAAGCCGTTATCCATTACACCAGCCGCGCACCCATGTTTACATCACCTGGTATTTCCATATAGGCACCCTTCTAGGTACTGGCCAGGCTCGGCGTTGCTTAACTTCGGTGATCGTACAAGAACTGGTGTTTCAACGTGATATGGCCGTCAGACAAACGGCTGATTGGTCGGCTGGTTTTGTTTAGCGGCATATAAACACCTCTATGCCGAAATCTAAATATTTTGAGGTAATTTTATGCTTTCAACTATCGATATTTTGTGCATAATTTCATCATCATCATCATCATCATCATCATCATCATCATCATCAGGTCGAGAATTCTTCACGGATTCTCCTGACTTGTTCCCTCCAACCATCTCTGTCAGACATCGCAGTTGGGAGGTCCTCCAAATGGCCTCTAGAGTCATCTACAAGTTGGTCAATGTAGGTACGATGAGGTCTTCCAACCGATCTTTTGCCGCGCAGTGGGTTCCATAGGAGGGTGTCACTCACAAGTTCTGACTTACTTCTCCAGGACTGACCAGCTTTTCTCTCTCTTAGCGAAACTGAGATAGGAGTATGGTGTTCATTTAGACGTTTCTTTCTTAGATGTTTCTTCCAGCCGATGTCCAATTTTATACTTTCAAGGTAAAGGTATGCTATTTTTAGATATATAATTTTTAGACCATAAAATCTATTGTTGATATTTTTCATGTATTGCTGGTGATTATTTTTTAAAAATGTATTTTTATACGTTTTAGTGGTGTATTGTCATTTTACTATAAAAATGTACTCCTGATTTTTGATTGGGGGTTATATAATGTTTTTAGTTAAATTCTGAAAGAGATTGACATAAAATTCGCAAATAGGACACTTTAATCATTAGGAATTGAGTAATTTTACTTTTAAGCATTTCACCGCAAGCAAGACGGGGATGCTACTAGTACGCAAGGGGCTACAGCGAATGAAAGTAAGGGAAAAGACTGGATATGGGTGGGTGGTTGAAGAAAGGATAAAAAAAAAGAGGAACGGAGGAGGATAAAAAAAGAATGGCGATCAAGGCATCAGAAGATATCGATTGATGTCGATTGACATTACATTGAAATTTTTGAAGATTATAGTTATCAGGGAAGCGAGTAAGGGGAAGGGAGTTCCACTGTCAGGAAGTGACAGAGAAGAAGCTTTTTGAGTAAAAGAGGTGGTTACATTTAACTCTATCGACGGTAAAATGGTGGGACCGAGATGCCAACCTATTATAATAATATATTAGAACACAGACGGTTTATTCTGCACTGGGTATGACGATAAACTACATCCGATAGCAAGGCCTTTGATCAGAAGGTTTTGAGGGGCGTGGAACGCTTAATTACCCGAAGTGGTGGCACCTGTCAGGGTCCCAGCTGTGGGCAAATAGTTAAACCTTCAAAAGGGGTCAAAACACTATGAAAGTATAAAAATAGATTTTAATACCAGCAATAGTGTTTTGAAAAAATTATTACCAGTAATACATTGCTGGAAAAAATATTACCAGGATTAAAAATTGGAAAAAAAATATTACCAACAATGAAAATCTTGTCGGCATTAAATAACCCATTGAGGTTGATGTGCCGTAAAATAAAACAAATCAAGCAAAACAGACGGTTTATTCTAAAACTTGATAATGATAATCCTTCATCTCAAAACTTCCGATATACAATATTTAATTGAAAAACCCACGATCCCCACGCTGCATACAGGTGAAGCAGAAAGCGATATCACAATGACGGATTCATTATAGAACAAACTACAGTACATTTGTTCGTAACCTCCCAATATGTCGCTAACCAACTCAGGTTGTTTTCTTCGCTGACATATGCGATTGACACATGCGTACCAATTTAGATTTAAGCAAAAAGGGTGTGTTTATGTGTCTGCTTTTATTTTATTTATCTCAATTTGATTTTTTTTTCTCTTCATCCTTACAGAGAGGGACCTACACGAACATATAACGACGGGTGGGCTTTTTTATGTATGTGCGACCGCGTGTGTTTGTCTGTGAGTGTGTGCGTGTGTATAAATGTGTCTATCTGTTCCCAACAGAACGACTTTAGCGACATTAAGGCATACTGGCTCGATCAGAGAACTTCCTAATCTGGTGACGAAAATGCTGAGTTTTCATAGCTCGACCAGGCTCAGTGGTTAGCAAACTGGTCTCTTTTGTAGGAAATTCGAACCTCAACGCTTTCTGTATGTAAACGCATAGCTGAATGGTTAGTTTCTCAATCTTTTTACCCTTACGTAACCCTTAAAATAAATTACATGTCTCAAGGAACCCCTACGGAAAAACAAAATTATATACCATATCTTTCTCATTTTATTTTCATTGTAGTTCACGTGGTAAATATCAAAGTATATATTTTTGAATAAATGGTTTAAGGAAAAATTAATGCTTCTTTGTCAAAATTTTTGTAATGCTAAATAACATTCATACTGTTGGTTTATAATACTTCATCAGGGAGTTTTCATTCACGCAAAAAATTCTAAACTCAGATGTAAAATATAAACATAAGTAACCAATATCCTATACCTATAATATAAATGTAAACAGAAGGTAAGCAGATAATTGCTGCATCAGTTTTTATTTTTTATTTTTTATCCTTTACTGGCAATGTTGAAAAGACAAGCTTAATCAAGGCAAAATATCCTGTGAACCAATAAATGGGCTAAGAAAATGTTACTTTCAGAGCCATTTCTTCATCATGCTTGTTTAATGTGAAGCTACACAAATACTTAATTTCAGGTCGATCTTTAGATAAACATACACGGATTTCATTCTCATTTGAGAGGAGATGATTTATGTCTTGATACTTGTTAAATAAGAAAAGGCTTGCTCACACATGACCAAGAATATATTGTGTGTGTTTAGTAATATTACGTATATGAAATTAAATAAAAGTCAAAAGTGCATTAGCTTATCTCAGCTTCTCTCACGGAACCCTTGAGGATCTCTTGCGGAACCTTAACCCCGGTTGAGAAACGTTGGGTTAATGTGTTAGCGTTCTGAGCACGAAACCAGGGTTTCGAATCTAACCATGATCGATTCATTCAAGAAGTAAATATATTGATAATATCGTCCTGGAAAAGACGATCCAAGCACAGTTGGGAACGAATTGAAAATCATCCCAAAAACTATCCCAAACCTTGAGTGAAACACGAAGCCGTCGTTTGCTATGCGAATGGGTAGAACAGGCTCTTAAACCTTGACTGACAATCTAATGATGGTGATGATAAAAATAAAATCCTCCAACAGCCTAATCACTCATAGGGGTATGTAATGAAGTGGGGTGCAGATCAAATGATAACACACGAGCCGATGTTTCGTGGAAGAGACTCCCAAGAGGTTGCTTCCCTGACTACTACAATCCTGTTTAGTTTTTATCTTCTCTACATAAACTCCATAAACTATGCTCCTTATTCTATCTCGAGTTGTTCTTGGGCTTTGAACAGGGTGGACATTCTCAGCCTGCCATGTGTGGGAAACAATCCTTGACTACATGGGGCAGTTGCTTATTTTAAAACCTTGGGCTTTGAACAGGGTGGACATCATTGTAAAAAAAAATGTGCTCCAGACTTAAATCTTCATTGCTTAATATTTTATTGACTCCAATAACACTCGGCATGGTCTGTGGATACAAGTTCCATTCCTACGTCCGATACGTGAACCTAACATTCTCAGCCTGCCATGTGTGAGAAACAATCCTTGACTACATGGGGCGGTTGCTTATTTTAAAACCTGTATGACACAATGTTCGCCACGCCTGCAAACCGAATGCAGGCGTGAGTACACGTTATTCTCGCAGTGTCTGGGATTTCCTTCCTTGATATTTGGTGTGACTAGTGTGCAATGTCTACAAATGTGTCGACATGAAAAAATGTGTGGACAATACTACAAATGTGTCGACATGAAAAAGGAAACGCACAATGACTGAAATTCTGAAGTGCCCCGTGAATTGTGCAATTTGCCACAGGCGGAGAATGCGCCATCTTTGACACTCACCCATTTTGCCGAAATAAAACTGAGGAAAAGAAACTATAAATTTGATGATTTAATATAACCTCTTCAGCATGTTTTATCCACATATCCTCTATTATTATATGTGGATCATTAATCAATTAAACAGATTATCGGATAGAAAAAGATCAAACACAATAAAAAAAACTATTCGCTGAATTATTATTAGTTGCTAGTAGTGTATATCATTTTTAATTTTATAATTATGAAAAAAAATCATTTAATTTTCTGTCAACACTTGCTACTGTACCAATAATACTAACCTTGACCATAAAACTAAATTATATATATAGTTTTCAATGGTCAAAGTGAGCTTTTGTTTGTTTAATATGGTCAGTGTTATTTATTACCTCCCTTTGGTATTTTTACTGCGTCATAATAACATTTGGAAATTTTGTTGGGTGATATAAGATTTTGAGTATTACAAAGTTATTTCAGCATATACTACTCATAAAAATATGGAAAAGTAATATGCAAAGAACCCGTCAACCTCCCCACCAAAAAAAGGAGGTTAATTGGATCACTTTCCGACAAAAGATATAAATATTCCTGCAAGCTACAAATATTTTGGTACTTTCTGTAGTTTTAAGAAGGGTTATTAATATTCAAATAGTTCTTCAGATGAAATAATTTTTTCAGGAAATAATTCAAATAAGAACAGCAAAAAAATATTTGCTGAATTTTTATTAGTTGGTAGTATTGTATATTCTTTTTAATTTTATAATTATAAACAAAAATCGTTTAATTTTCTGTCAACACTTGCAATGCTACCAATAATACTAACCTTGGCCATAAAACTAAATCATATGTATAGTTTTCTATGGTCAAGTTTGCTTTTGTTTGTTATTTAATACGGTAGCAGTAGCTGCAGCAGACGCATAAGTCAGTATTATTTGTCACTTGCCTTTGGCATTTTTACTACATCGTAAAATCAGTTTATGAACCAGTAACAAACTTGTGCCAAACAATTTTGGTATGCTAAATACGTGTCCACAATTACTGTTTTTAATCCTCGACCTATGTCTTATACAGGAATAATAATTAGATTTATTTGTATTTTTAATCCTCTGAGCCCTGCGTTCCTGAACAATTTTAACCCTTCTGCCTGGGCTCTTGAGT